TGCTTGATTTGAGTTTTTTTCATTAATTTGTTTTTCTAATGAGTCATTAAGGGCTTTAAGCTTAGACATACTTTGAACCAAAGTTTTGTTTTCCTCCAGAATTAGGTTATGTCTATCTATGTTAGACCTAAGCTTCTCCTTTGTCTCATTAATTTGTTTCATCATAGTAATCTTTTCCTCCCTTTCCATTTCTTGATGGTGAAAAGATCTGTCCAAGTCTTGTTCTCTATGTTTTTTCTCCAAGATTAATTTTGACTCCAGAATTGCAGACTCTCGTAGAGATGAATTAAGTCTATTTTTACTTTCCTCACTGTCCAAAAGGACATTGTCAAAGTGTTTGATAAGCAATTCAAGTTTAGAGACAAGATTATCTATGTGTAGTTCCAGGATGTTAGTTTTAATCAGGTTTAATTCTAGACAGATGTCGGCTATATACTCCTGCATAAAGCCCTGTGAGCCACAAGACTCAAACACAATTTCCTCTAGTTTTCTCATTAAGCAGATTTAAATTCTTCTGTTCCCAATACAAATATTTTGTTTTTATTCCCTTTTATTTGTATAAAGGAGGGCCAATAATATATTTATTCTTGGCTCAATGTAAGTAACAAAAGGTCATGTACAGAATAGGCCAAGACTAATTGAAATTGTATGCAGTTGATTTAGTGGTAAAAATAACCACAGAATATTTAGCACACAACTAGGATTCTGATAAAAAGCAAATAAACAGCAATAATTGAGTTAGTAAACAAACAGACTGATAAGAGATAAGTAAGGTACCAGTTTGTCCTTGGCCAAGGCCAAGTTTAGTCACCTTGCCGGATCCTGATTCCAGTAGATATATATTCTTCATATATTATATTCAGTTATGTTTAGATTATGTGCAGTATTTACATTCTTCATATATACAACATCATTTGTGTAAAATGCAGGTAATATTATTGTAGAAATTTTCTTGCAGGTTATGAATAAAATATTGATAATCTTTTAATAAAATGATTGAGACGTAGGAATTGGCTAACTCAGGAACTCGCTAACTCGGTCGTGTGTCGGAACTGGCTAACTCTGGAACTGGCTAACCGTCTCAGTCAGGAATTGGCTAACTCCAGAACCCGCTAACTCGATTTTGTCTCGCGGCGGAATTCGCTAACTCTGGAAGTCGCTAACCCGGCCGCGCCCACTGCACGGAGCGTTGCCAACCTTGTACGACAAAATAATCGTACACTGCCGTATTTCAAAATGTCAGTGTCAATGAAGATACAGTAAATGTTATTGTTTTTTGTTATCAATTCCACTTTTAACAGATAACTAGCCCAAAGTAATTCAAATACAATAAAAAATCAAGAAAAAGTGTTTTTCTTTATTTAACTGTACAATGGCCAGTTAAATGTTTATGATTTCGATCTTAAATATAAATGCCATCAAGAAAATAATAGAATATGAAAAATATTGAAAATTCAGTTTAATTGGTACTCAATAATTAAACCTCTACGAAATTAAGCTAAAATACACGCAAGTTCTCAAACACGGAAAACAGCTTTAATCGTAATGGCGTAATAAACCAAAACCATTAATTAATACAGTCATCAACCATCGTAACTTTCATAACTAATTCATAGATTTAAAATTAAATGTTCGTCGTTGAACCGTCCAACTTACGTGTACAAATATGATGACATAGACTAAGTTTTTATCCAGGCCTAATAGTTTCAACCAAAGCATTGTTTGCCTACTAGTAAATAGTTGCCTAGTTCTAAAATGTGTTGAATTTTTTTAGCAATAATGTTACATGTTTCAACCCCGTTTTTAGATTGTACACCTAAGCACCACTAGTAAAAAATAGGAGAAGATATAATATTCATATAATAAAACGTGACAGGGTTATTTTAATTCACGATTCTTAATAAACGAATTGACGGATTTTCCAGATTTGAGTGTTGGGTTTCCTTTATATTGCTTTCACAATCGATATAAACTACAGTATACCAAGCCATTGCTCGGTTCACCGTTCCCCGGTACTAAGCCTCACAATAGACAATAGCTTTGTTTTGGATAAGATCAAATATTTTAACTATAGCCACCATTCATAAGAATTGTAACAAACAAGAACGCCTGGGTCCATTTAGAACCAGCCTGGAGAAAAACTCCAGACTTTAAAAAAGTAGGCCTACTGAAAGACGTAAAATTAATATTAATTCAAAACAATTAAGAGGATGACCCGGGTTCTACACTAATAGCCTACGATAAAAGAAATTTACAAGTTGTATTTATGCATGGACTAATTTTTAATGCAATCCATGAATACATTAGGCCTACTACTTTATAATGTATCGATACATTTTATTTAAATTCAATAGCTCTATTTAAAAATACATTACCACTACAATGTAATTCTGTTATGACGTTTAGCGTGTAAATTGTATTATGATTTATGATTCAAGGTTACAAGCCCAGTATATAAAATACGAACTCAAAAATTTTATTTGCAGAAGTTCACAAAATGGTATTTATTCGAATAAAAGAAACAAATGGCGGACTACGAAAATAGACATTTCATAACATGTAATAGATCCATATTAAATGTGCATTTTTATCTTTTTGCATACCAATAAGCTACAATCATGTTTTATCTATGCTACAATTTAAGTAAGAAACCCACGTATAAAACATACTCCCTTATATTAGTACATTTTTCATCCTTATGGATCAGCTGAAGACAGTTTTATTGTTAGTTCTGTCCGGTGCACTGTCTTTAGAGGTCGTGTTTTGTTTACAATTGTTTCTTGTTTTCAGTAATTTAAAACCTCGTTTAGCCAAATAAAACGTTCTAATCACAACTAATAACACGTCCCCTAGTTATATAACCAAACAGTAAAGAACAAATCATGAAGTTAACTATAAAATAAATGAAACACAATTTTGTTGACACTAGCGATCAGTGTCACCGGACATGAACTAGACACGAAAAACGAGCTTCAAAGTTTACAATGGGATGTAAAGTTTACTTGTGTTGGTTAGTCTATGGTAAGACTATAATGCATTTTCCACCCTAATAATCATAAGAACAATGTTAAACATACTTATAAATATATTGCTTTTATTGTGTACGTTGCTCTTACTCCTAATTAATCGTAGGATACGACATTATAGTACCGATACGATATAGGTACTACACTTTCGGCAACACTGGCCAAAAATATTCGTGCTTGGCTCCCATTGGACGGCCCGCGAGGCTTCTGATTGGGAGTTAGCGAGTTCCGCCTAGGGACCGAGTTAGCGACTTCCGTACGAGGACGGAATTCGCTAACCCGGCTCTAGAGCGGGTTAGCGGTTTCCGGAGTTAGCCAATTCCGAAACCGAACAAGTTAGCGAGTTCCTCTCATCGACCAAATTTGAAGATAGGGCGTTTAACATGGGGTTAGCGAGTTCCAGAGTTAGCCAATTCCGCGGACCCAAATGATTCAATAAAAATAAATACTTATTTGATAGTTTTGTAAAGAAACATTGCTTCTTTCATTCACAAAACACTATTTTGCTTAAATTATCTTAATTTCATATAAGATTAACTGTAAATGAGGACTGGTAAAACTCAGTGTTGAATCAAGTTAACCTCAAAACCCTAAGTCAAAGAGAGATTTTGCAACAAATTTGACAGACTTGGTACAGTGTTTGGACATATAAAATATGCATAAAGAGTGAGGGAGTTTAAAGGTGTTAGTAACATCTGCACAATATCAGTAATGTTTTTATGGTGTAAGCCGGCTGCGGTCATTTATCAGTCTCGTTTGAATGAGTGATCAAAGTTGCGGGAAATGTTGTTTAAGGACTGTGGTGTGACTGAACGACAAAATGCTGATAAGGAATGTATCTATAGGATTATCTACTATGGTATACCCTGGTACTCAAGACAAGCAGGAAGCAAAGATGCCTCAACTTTCACTTACTCAATGAAAACTGATTATCACCCACTGCTAGCCTCAAGCAAATGTGTACAGCCTTCTCCGAACTCTCTTGGTCACTTGTGCACATTTACTATGTCTAAACTCTTTTCTGCATACACATCCAATAACAAGTAAAGGATTTCAATTAGGGTTGATCCTCTTTTCTCAAAGAAACCTAATCATTAAACGCGATTCTTACTTGGCAGAAGCATAGATTTTCCCCTAGCCTATTTTATTTATCCTTTGGGCTACTGAGACAAGACTAATTGCTAAACAGGGTTCAACACTTGCTACAATAGTAGGGATGAAGTAGGTAAAGAAAACAAGAACCTAAAGAAGGCAACGTTGGTCTCAGATTTGAATACACACTTTGCTGCAATGGGAGTTCGAAGGAGACTTTAACTTACAGTCAACCCTTGTATTTTATTTCATCTGATTTAATCAGCTGAGTAGACGTGTAAAACCATAAGATTTCAAGAGTGTAAACCAAGATGAATAAGAAACCTTTCAATGAATTTAAAAGCCCAGAGAGGAGATATAAAAGTTTAATATGTTCATAGCAGCAGTGGTTTCCGTGTGCCTCACAGCCATCCTGAATCACCACATCTTCATCATCACTCAGATTCTCACTACTATCGTCAGTTTCATCATCACTTGTCCAATCACCTTCCTCGTCACTAAATACAAAGGCCAGATCATCTGGGTCCGACATTTTGGAAGAAAAACTAACACCAAAACAGTTGCGAAAGTGCTCGACCTTGACACTGACTAGTGATTTAGTTACTGAAAGCACCACGACTACCATCTAAGCAGCACTGTCCAGTGCAAAACCACATTGTTACAAAATACAGTATACTATTGAGCAGTGCTGTGGGAAGTTTCAGATTTCTAGTTCTAATCCTGGCTTAAATCATAGTGTGGCGCATTGCAGCTTGAGAGCGAGCGCACCCACCAGGATGGCATTAGGGTTCTGTGTGGGAGCAATTGCTCCCATGCCACTACGAACGTGTTGATAAAACAAATGGATTATTTTATCTTTTACATTTCTAATTTGGTTTACAGGGCAGAAGAGAGGCGGAAGACCATCGGATCACTGGATCACAATGTCAAGACAGAGGCTGCTTCAGTACACCAGTGAGTATGAGTTTTACTGTTTACAGTAAATAGGAAAGTTTGGAGGCTGAATCAGCACTGAATCACTACGTGATATAGATTGAGTAAATAGAAAAATAAATAGAAAGAAATGTGTGTACCTTCTGATTTATTTATAATATATTGAGCATCTTTCAAATTATCTTATTTAGCTTCTGGAATTAAGGTTTATTGGTTCCACTTTATCTCAATCTTTTAAAAGGTCAAAAGTAAGAACTATGATACTCCTTACTTAGCAATTTTACATCTAATTTCTAAACAGAATTTTCTCATACCATTTTTGGATTAAATCTCTAGTGAGCTGTTCCATGGTAATGGACTAGTCGTGACAAGGTTCCAAATGTAAAATGGATTGCGACTTTAATCAACCATACACAAGTCCAACAGGCTTTGTCGACTCAACATCATTCAAACTTGTTAACCTATTAACATGGCCTATTCGCATAACAAAGACTTAACTTACCAAAGTTAATTTGTCCTATATTTTTTGTAGACTTAGTTTTCAAGAACTGGCGTTATACATAACGCCTGACCTTACACAATCTAGTTTGTATCAGCTATGAGAAATTCACAGTTTTTTTTTATTTAAACGTCTGAGTGGCTGATAAAGGGTATTTTTAGCGAATTTCCCATATAGGGAATAAGCTATTACCGTAGTACTCATGGTAAGACCTGGACGCGGGACCGATTTTTTTTTTTTTCGTTTTGAGGTCCCTAGAGGCCAAAAACACCATCCGTTCAAATTCATATATATATATATTTATATATATCTAATATATAAAATTCTCGTGTCACAGTGTTTGTCTGCAAACTCCTCCGGAACGACTTCACCGATCGTTATGAAATTTGGTGTGTAAATTCTGTAGGTATGCGAATCGGACGTAAACTATTTCCCGTTTCGAAATTCTTAAAAGGGCTCCGCCCCAGTGGCTCTGGAGTTTCCCATGTTAACCTTATGAGAAATGGAATTAATGAATCTTAACAGCTGTTTCAATTAAACAAGTTGGTTCTGTTCTATGATGTTCAATAGCATTAAAGTTACAAGGATTACCAACAGGGTGCAGCACTATTATTTCCTTTACATTTATGACAACAGCTAATTTGCAACCAAAAGGTGAGTGAGCGTAGCGAACGAACTTCAACCTGGAGGCGAGTTAGCGTAGCGAACGAGCTAACCTGAAGGCAAGTGAGCGCAGCGAACGAGCTCCAACCTAAAGGTGAGTGAGCGTAGCGAACGAGCTCCAACCCAAAGGTGAGTGAGCGTAGCGAACAAACTTCAACCAGGACGTGATTGAGCGATGCGAACGAGATCATCTTGAAAATTAAACGTAACGGTACTTTCTTTCCATCGGTCTGTCTTAGGGGAAACCTATAACTTAGGCGATACGAAGTTCGCCGGGTCAGCTAGTATATATATATATATGTGTCCGTCAGCACGATAACTCGAGCAAAAATGATCCGATTTTGATGAAATTTGGTACAAACGTGTAAACCTAAGTCTATTCGAACGAGTTCGCGATCCAGCATGATCGGACCATGGGAACGGGTGTTTACGGGGGGTTTTATGGGGCAAAAATAGGTTTTTCCCAATTTTGACCCAAAAAACATAAAATTTAGCAATTGATTTCCAAACCATTTTGTAGAGCTTCAAAAAACAAATAATTTAGTATATTGAAGCGTTATTATGCACCTAATGGTTACGGAGAAAATTCCAAAAAATTGTAAATTTAAAATTCCCATGTTATTCTTATGGAGAATGAGTAAACTGTTGTAGTTTGCTTGTTTATGAACATATTTTGATCAAATTTGGAAAATGTTTTTATTTCTTACTAACTATTAACATTTTACAAAAAAAAACAGTTTTACCCTCCCTGATGCAGCAAACCTAAGTACTTGTTAAACTAATTCTATTTAAATCGGGAATAAATGTTATATTTTTAAGTAGACATTTCAGTGTAATTCCAATCAGTCAAATGGAAATTCGCTTAGTCTGCAGGTTTGCTGCGGCGGGGGTATTTTAAAGAATTTTTACCTTCCCTGTACCAGAAAACCTAAGTACTTGGTAAAGTAATGTTATTTAATTTGGGGAATAAATATGACTTGTTTATGAAAATATTTTATTAAAGTCCAATCAGACAAATTGAAATTCCCTTAGTCTGCTGGTTTGCTGCATCAGGGGCATTTCACCTATATGATATTTAGTTGGTTTTTTTTTGTGAAATGTGTAGACAATTAATTAGCTAAGAATCCTATACCATTCCTTGGTCTCAGAGTTGTTTTTTATGGTCTTGAAACAAGATGATTTTCCCAGGTCTATCCAGAGCAACAACAAAGGATTCAAGATGCTGTCCAAGATGGGCTGGAGTAAAGGCCAGGGGCTGGGTAAAGATTCTGCCAAAGGGATTACTGAGCCGGTGAGTTTTTTTACATTTTCATCAACAAATTTGCCTCAAGTTAAGTGGTTAAACAGTTCCACAATTGAATTTTGGGTTTAACCAAATTTCAGTTTTAGTTCAAAGTTCGAAGCATGTATCATAAAGGCCGTACCGCTGTAAGATTGCTAGAAAGAAAAGATATCAAAGACAGCGGAGAGGGAGGTAAAAAGAACGCAGGAAGGTATATTGTGGCTGCAGCGATCTTATACTTAAATAACCTCGCTAGACAATCGCTTTCAATATGCTTCAATGTACATTTTCTCATTACTTCTGTGACCTGGACAAAATGAAGTTTTGACATAGGGAAGCCAAGTCTTTTGCTCAATTATCATGTGCTGGATGTCTGTGAAAGATTTTGCGAAATGATATCTTCCCAATCGCTGAGATGTACAGGATTTTGTCGGGATCGTGGGAGACTATTGTGATGTATTCGATATAGCGGGGATGTTTAGACTTTGCCGCAAACGTAGAACACGCTAACCTAATCTGTTAAGAGATTTTTCTGTGCCGCCACAAACTGGGAACGTTTTTCAATGGTTTTAATGTGAAGGGGTTCCACAGACGAAAAGTGGTGACAACAGGAGACCTGTGGTCACATGATGAGGGAATTGCAATTTGATCAAAGAAGGCAAAATTGGCAAATTAAATAAATTTTACAAATTTAAAATCAGGTGTAAAATATTTTAGGAAACCTGTTTTAAAAATTCAAAAACCGAATGACAAAATTTGTATGGATCTTTGATAATTTAATTTCAAGATGTGTGCCTCGAAGTAGTATGGCGTGATATGCTCCTCTCCTCACGTTGCAGACAATAGACAAATCTTAATCAGTAATTCTGTGACCGCTGGAGCATACCCGCCTGAGTCACAGTCATGTCATTGATCAATGAGTTGCAGTAATTGAAGTGGGATAGTACAAGTGATTTGATCAAATTTAGTTTAGTTTGTTGTGGCAAAAAATTCTGTAATCAGTGAATGTACAGTATGTGCAAACACTTGTTTTCTTGTCTTCCTAACTAAAATATCCCAAGTAAGTGAAGAGTTGAATGATATACAGGGTGGCGCATAAAGAACGCATGGATTTGAGTTGAGTGGTAAGAGCAATAAAAGCGTCCGTGGAGGGACTGGGCCTGGTTGTTTTGTAGGTTAGGGCGTCCAGTTTTAGTAGCAATGGTGCAATCAACCTGACGCATCACGTTTTTGCTGTAGAACATTTATTAAAAAATAATGAATCTGATATAACTGTTCAATGGCTTCTCCGTGCATAGTTCAATGGTTCAAAACAAAACCCGATCGCAACACAATACTTTGTTGGATAGCTCCTTTTCGCACAATTGAATCAGTTATGAAGCAGAAGTGGTTTGGTTGTCCTTGCACGGCGCGAACTCCACAAAATGTCGACAGAGTAAGGGCGTCTGTTACACTAGGCGATGCGCTCCAACTGTGTGCTTGTCTTGACGCTCGTTGCAGGGCAACCTGAAAGACGAGTTAAAATTTCATCCTTACAAAATTATGATCGAACAGAAGATTTATGAACGTGATTACGAAAATGGAAACTGTTTTGAGAGAATGGTTGATGTTCTTGCCACTGATGGCGTTTTGTGTGTGATGTTAATGATGGAGCGCAGTTTCATTTGGATAGTTATGTCAATAAGCAAAACTGGCACTATTTGGCAGCAGAAGACCCAAAAGAATTGCATCAAAAACCACTGCACGATTTGAAACTTAACGTTTGGTGTAACTTTCGTTATTTTTGGGCCTTACCGTACTTTTTTCAGGACTCACGGAACATTGAACTTTGTGCAGAAAAGCCTTGAACAGTTTTAACAGATTTAATTACTTTTGAATAAATGTTCTACCGCAAAAATCCGATGTACCACGGACCTCTGCACCATTGCTACTAAAACTGGACACCTTAACCTACAAAACAACCAGGCCCAGTCCCTCCACCACGCTCCTATTGCTCTCACCACTCAACTCAAATCCATGCGTTCTTTATGCGCCACCCTGTATTATGCCAAGATTCTTTACTTTTGTTTAGTAGGTAAGTGCTAGTGCTTAGCCATTATTTTTACTATCACTGTTAGGCTGGCGCCACACTATCCCGTTTAGCAGGATGCGGTTGAGCGGGATGCGTTTTTACCGCATTAACATTATCCTGCCACACCTTTCTGTTCTACCGAGTGAAGAGCGCGAGCATTACATGCTGAGCACTGTTGATAGGGACAACAGTAGGGATAAACGCGGGCACAACCGGATAGTGTGGCTGCTCTCATTTAACTGCATGAGTTCGGCCTTTCATCCCGTTGACTCACCGCAACCGCAACAATGTTACCGCTCCCATTAAAACCCATGCGTTTGAATCATCCCGCCAAACGGGTATTGTTTAACCGGACTGGCGAAACGGGATAGTGGTGTGGCACCGCCCTTAAGTCGCCATGAAGGATGATCCATGAATTTGGAAATTTATGGCAGTTTGAAATTATCTGGTAAGAGTGTTAGTAGGCCACGCGCAACATCATTACTTGTTATTACCCGATATTTAAAGATTTGTTTGCTAAGGGGGGGGGGGGGATCCATAGTATGGGAAATCACAGCATCAGCGGGTTCATAGTAAAACAACCCAAGAGCAAGTCGGGTTAAGCCAACGGGAAACTGCTAGTAATGTTAAGCTTCCCTAACATTCTAGAAGGGCTTGTTAGAATTGGATTTCATACTTAAACATTCATAAGATTCAACCTATCCGCACCCATTATTCTCCCTGGTCTTTCCATTGAACTAAGACATCTTTACTGTATTTGTATTCTACTACTTATCATAACATTAGAAGTGTCCTGCTCTGCCCCCAGTGTCCCACTTACCACAACACTGTACCGATCTCATTCCCTCACTTTGAGCTGCGTTTGTTCTTGATTCTTACCTGGATGGTGCAAGTGTTGTGTTTTTGGTTTACATTTAAAAAACAGCTGTCAATGAAAAGAAACTCGGTAGCTTTTTTGAGAGCGAATGTTGATGTTTGTAATATTCAGGAAGTTATAGACCAATGTTAATCAGTTTTTTGGAAGAACAGAAAATGCCTCGAGTTTAAAGAAGAAATATTGAAAACAGGAGGAGGAGAGAATTAATAAGAGATTGTATGCGTATGAGGGGGTAGAATAAGAGAGGCCTGGTCCAACAGTAAAGAACCCAGATACACTCTCACTTGGTGAGATAAATAATATTTGCCAGTTTTGCAATGCAACTTATTTTGTAAGTGAAAAAATACATGAAGAATATATACACATTAAGTCGTCATGGTGGTAAAGTAAACTTGCCTAATGTCATCAAATGAATACATGCAAGAAATATTTACAGGTAACACTGACAGATCAAGACATTTCAAAACCTTTAGTAGAAACTATAATAATGCCCTGGCTATGATAAGCTCAAGTGGTAAGAAAGATTAAACCAAACCTTGGTGGACCTTATGTTTTTATTGTTAACATTTTTGTTACTAGCTCTACTTGAATTGAGAAAGAACACAAATGGATTACTGTTTTACTTCTTGCTATCACCACGGCAAGGTTACATTGCCAGTTCCACTTATAAGCAAACTTATACTTTTAATAATTTTTGTTGAAATGGTGACCATACAAAGTAGGTATTTTAAGCCAAGTATGAATGGTGATGAGTGTAGGATGAGTGGCGCGATCTTATAGTCTTGTTAGTGACTAAGGCCGACATATTCCTTAGACACAGCTGTTAATTAATAGCCCATACAGCTAATGGCAACTAAGGGATCTACAGTTTATAGTGGAATCCGAACCACTATTTTGCCTTGGTATATAAAAATTGGTCTAAATATCAGGATAGTACTGCGGATAGTCATAGTATTCACTTGTGCGGACGTTAATCCACACCAGAGAGTATCGCATCCACAGAGCATGCCTATAAATATCCACAATTCGTGGCCTCCTAGTAGCTGGATTACAGGACGACGCCACCCGTCCCAGTCTACAGTATACAAAGTTTATTGACATTTAAGACATTTCAAGTCAAAAATAAAAAGTTTCAACTTATGTGTATGCATTCAACTGTCAAGTTCATTATAGAATTGGAATAACACCGACGGAATTACAGTTGCTACGGTCAAGTTTATTTTTCTGATTCCAGAAGAGGTATATTCACTGTTCAATAAGACAAAATGAAAATTGTGATTCAAATCTTATACAAGAGTTATCTAACCTATTCCAACAAATAAATCCATACTTTTTAGCTTTCAAAACTTTGGGACAGGTATTAAGAGAAACTCTACTGAACAATGTGATAATGTGCTGATGCTGGACACTCTGCCTGATATACAACACATTAAAAGACGTTACATTTGACCAACTACCAAAGGTGTTGCTGCTATTACCAGTTGGTACTATAACCCAGAGTTTGTTGTATACTTCAAAAATGGTACACATTAAATGGTTGATATCACCCTACTTTTCAGGATTCCCCTTTGGAGTAAATCATTTGGTTTAGAGGGATGCCTCAAATCAAAGAAATAAAATTACCCAACTTGAATTTACTTCACACAAATTATCAGTGAGGCAACAATTTCTTCAGTTCGCCATGCTGGAAAAACTTTGTTGCGACATATTTTAGACATGTTCACTCAAATTGAAGGGGAGTGTTTAGCATTCATTAGAAGTAATCAGATAAAACAAACTGAGAGCAGAAATTTATGAAAACCTTCACAACGCAATTTCCTCAAAGCAAGTTTTAACAGGTTCCCTAGTGGTAAATAATGTACGAGACAAGACCAAACACTGCATAAGATGAAATTTCACATCTCGAGCAACAAACTTCCAAATTGATACAGTTTCTCAGTCAGTTAATGGTGCACTATTGTAAGAAACAAGGTCTGAATAAAAGAGCACACTGTTGTAGATTATGCAAACCGGTAATCTTATTGCAAGTCTAAAAGATCTGGTCTTCAAGTGAAGTTTTAA